CAATAGATACATGCATCAATTCATTGCACTGTACACCTTAAACTTACACAATGTTATATGTCATTTCTTTCTCAATAAATCTGGGGGGAAAATATTCCTGTTAAATTCACCTAGGCTGTGACGAAGTTCTTGGTAAGATACTGGTCAGAACATGTAATGTGTTTTTGCCTAGAAGCAAAGCTCTCATGATAGGTCTTTGGGACTCTCCCTGGTTTCCTATTTGACCTGTGAGGTGTCCAACCGTAGCATCCAACACCAAGTCCAGATAACGCAGCTCCACAGGACCCAGTGATCCCACATGACGTTGCTCTCCTGCCTCCAGAGACAGACATTGGTCCAGCCAAAGCCCCGTATATCTGAGGATTTTGTTCAACAAAGAGTTATTGTATCACCTTGCATCCTTCAGCCATCAGGCTAAATGCTGGGGCTACAAAGATGCGTAGGACAGAGGTTTTTGACCTTGAGAAGCTGGGGCACAAGATGATCCTGGGCACAGGGCAACTTGTGGAGGAGCTTGTCAACAGCGTCAGCCAGTGAGATGAGTGTCTTAACATAAGGATGTACAAAGTGCTCTGGGTGCGTTGGGAAGGCTCTGCATGGGGGCTCCAAGAAGGCTCCAGAGAGAAAGTGAGGTGTGAGTCCCTTCTTGAAGGACCAGAAGTTTGCTCAGGCCAAGAAGCAGCAAAAGCCATTCTTAGTAAAGAGAACTGTGAAGGCAGAGAGGCGTGAAAGGGCCTGGCAGAGGTGGAGACAAGTGAACAGCTTGAGAGTGAAGGCTGCCAACGGATGGTGACCTGCAGACAGATTTCGGTGTGGCCACAGAGCGGTTGATGAATTTTAGTCACATTTAGAAGTGGAGCTATTTCATGAAAAAGTCCAGATTTTCTGCTTCTCTTGAAAAAATGGAAAATCGGGCCACCTTGCTGGATATCAATTATGGGCTGGAACTGAGACATGATCGCCCCCTTCAGAAGAGGTCTGTGCACCCCAGTTTATCCCCATGTCCACCTCCCATGCCAGATGCAATCTACTCGTGGGCATTTACACTCCCATCCAGCAGCTGCACTAATTCCCATTAACAGCTTCACTCCTGATAGCATTTGAATTTTTAGCCTCCAGTTAAGTATCCCTGGAAATTAAAGGGCAAGGTGGAGGTTGGGGGGGCAAGATTGGCAGAGTTAAAACTGGCAACTGTGGGGAGCCATTACCACCCCAGAGCAGAAGGGACAAGGGGAGAGAGTGGCGTAAATGAAGTGTGGTGAGAGCTGGAAGGAGGAGGGGCCCTGAGAGCCTAGTGCTGGGGTGTAATTATTGGAGACACAGCACTGGAGCAGGAAGGGAGGGGGGTTAAAATACCTCCGTCTCAGAGAAGTAACAAGAACTTATTGTACAGCACAGGGAAATATAGCCATTATCTTGTAGTCATTTTAAACGGAGTATAATGACTTTATAAAATTTCATATAATCTATGAAAATATTGAGTCACTATGCTGTACACCTGTCACTAATATAATATTGTAAATCAAATATAGGTAAATTTAAAAAACAGAAAAGAGGGCTTCCCTGGTGGCGCAGTGGTTGAGAGTCCGCCTGCCGATGCAGGGGACACGGGTTCGTGTTCTGGTCCGGGAAGATCCCACATGCCGTGGAGCGGCTAGACCCGTGAGCCATGGCTGCTGAGCCTGCGCGTCCCGAGCCTGTGCTCCGCAACGGGAGAGGCCACAACAGTGAGAGGTCCACACACCGAAAAAAAAAAAAAAACAGAAAAGAATTGCACCATAAAAACAAACAAACGACCCCGCTCTCCTCCAGGGCCTCCCACTAGCTGAACCAGAAGCCATTGGGCAAGAGAGCCCTACAGAGGCTGTCCATAGTGGGGCACTGGGCAGAGGACGGTGGAGAGTGGATCTGGGAGGGCACTAGTACATCTTGGCACGTGGGGATAGAGAGGGAGCCAGAGAAGGCCCTCTCATGAGAGTTACTGGATCTGTGGTCCCTGTATAGGGACCCTCCTGAGTATGGTTAAGCCACAGGGGCTCTACAGACAGCAGGTGGGAGGGAAGGGGGCTGGGCAGGGCCTGAGATGCCCCTCCATCACCGCGAAGCTCTGGGAGACCACAAGACCCACAGCAGGACAAGGGGAGGACAGAGGCTGAAGTCTGGGCTCAGAAAGACTATTGCGTTAGGGTGCTGTGGTAGGTGGAGGTTTGGAGGGCTGGGGTAGCCCGTGGACTCATGGGCAGGAGATGGTGGTCAGGATACTTAGAGGAAGACTGGCCCCAAGGTCTTCCGGCTCCTGTTCTAGTTCACCAGGCACCCACTGTGTCCCTGGTGGCCACCCAGTCTCTGCTTGATCACTTTGGTGTTGGGGAGAACAGTAGGTGGCTCTGGAACAGGAGGTGGCTCTAATGATGAGAAAGACCCTCTGATGAGCTGAGGTCAACCTCTTTGTCTCTGGTCCTGCAACTTGAGGCCACAATGAACACCCTCCTACGTCTAAGGAGAGTTTTCCTCACCCTCCTAGGTCCTTAACCGCTTCTAAAGGTGGTGTCCTGGGACCATGACCCTCTGGATGTGGCCCGTTTTGCCACTGACTCTCTGGAAATAGTTCTCATACAATCTCCCCTCCTCATGCCTTTTTTCACCTTGGATTGAATGTCACTGGAAGATGGAGGAGTGAGGCCTCCCTTGAGGTGGGCAACGTGTCAACGGCATTTAGGACAGCACTAGATTTTTTTTTTTTTGTGGTACGCGGGCCTCTCAGTGTTGTGGCCTCTCCCGTTGCGGAGCACAGGCTCCGGACGCGCAGGCTCAGCGGCCATGGCTCACGGGCCCAGCCGCTCCGCGGCACGTGGGATCTTCCCGGACCAGGGCACGAACCCACGTCCCCTGCATCGGCAGGCGGACTCTCCACCACTGTGCCACCAGGGAAGCCCCCAGCACTAGATTTTTTTATTGCAAGCATCAGGCTGAGCAAGTGGGAGTTTATGCGTTTTACCTTAACAGCTCCGTGAGCTAAACGGGCAGGAGCTAAATAGGCAGGGGCTGGAGGTTCAGAAAGAATTAGCACCGCCCTAGGGTGACACAGCCAAAAGCAGGGCTGCAGCCAGCCCAGGTCTTCACCTCCGAGCTTCCTTCCACCACGGGGGCCCGGAGCCCCTGTGCTGTTTTGGGGGCTTCTTTTACAAAGGCAGGTGGGAGCGCCATGCTGCAGGGGAGGGTGCCGCTGCGTGCTCTGCCCTGGTGGGACAAGGTTTAAATGATGCCAGCTCTTTACAGCACAGTCCTTCTGGGATGTCACATTTCTAGACCCGAGGAATCCTTCCCTGGAACAGGCAGGGCAGACCAGCCCAGGGAGTGGAGCTGTTCCCTTGCCCAGTTCTCAACTCTGCTCCCCTGACCCCCCTGAGAGGGGCTCCCCTGCCAGACTTGGACTTGCCCTGGAGGACTTCATGGCAGCAGGGGCTCCTCCCGCCCTAGAGCACCTGTTCAGCTGCACATCAGGGCCTGAAGCTTCCATTGAGGTAAATGTCCCTGGAGAGAGGATTTTTTTTCCTCTCCTGTTTACTTTTCAGTATCAATGTCACATTTTCATTCCCAATTGCAAAATTTGGCTCCTGAAAAGCCATTACCCAGTTGTGCATACCCTCGAGCATCAGCCACATGGTACTCCTCAGGGGGCCCTCTTCCCACAGGTGTTATCTCACTTCTTTGCTTTAGACGATCCCACTTGAAAGGAGGTCCAAGCCTCCCTGTTTCCCAGGGCTAACATCTGCTGGATATTAAGGGATACTTAAGCATGGACTAGGGTGGGACGCCTTGGATGGGTATCTCAGCTCCAGGCATGAAACCTCTCCTGTGCCACGTGCTCCCTGGGGCTTGGCATATTCCAGAGGGCAGTAGGGATTGGATTAGAATCACGGGGAGAGATTTTAAAAAGATGTTCAAGCTCCACCCCTACAGATTCTAGAATTCAATTGATCTGGGGTGAGAGACACTAGCTTAGTGGAAAAGGCATTGCTCGACCCAGGGGTGTGTGACCACGGGCACTTCCTGTTTCTGGAGGTGAAAGGCAGAGGCAGAAAGCTCAGGGCTTGCAGAGCAAGTCCTGTGGATGGCCAGTGCGGAAGAGGGAGTTTCAGGAGACGGGGAAAGAGCGCTGGGGCTAGAATTCCAGGCTGCTGCTGGGCAAGGAGCTCCGAGCTAGAGGGGAGGCAAGGCTAGGTCACACCCCAAGGCCGGGCCAGGCAGGAGTCAGGGCATACAGCAGCCAGGCAAAACAGGGGTCTGAAGTGTGGGCCGACAGCATCCCCAAAGGCTGAGCGCGAACGATCCAGACCATGGATTCAAGCTGGCACCTGCAAGTCACCTGGATAAATGAGGGAAGGTCTGGCTGATTCCAAGTTCATGGGGGCTTTTTCCTGGATGGGTCCTCTGAGTCCTATAGCACAGTGGTTTTCGAACTCGAGCATGTATCAGAATCATCTGGAAGGTGGAGGGGGCATGGGGCATCTCGAGAGTTTAACAGGTTTGGGGTGGGGCCTGAAAATTTGCGTTCCTAAGAAGTTCCCAGGTGATGCTGATACTGCTGGTCTGGGGACCACACTTGGAGAATCATAGCTGTTAACACATACTCCCTACCTTAGAATTTCGGGCGTTATTTGTATTTTGGCTGGAATTGGTCTGGAATTATTTTCTGCGTGTCAGTCAGTCTCAGCCAGATTTTGATTCCTTTGGGGCAGGGACTGTATGTTTCATCTTTTCTTTCACACTAGTTAGTGTATTGTTGGACACATAGTAAATGAAATACTCATACATTGAGAAGAACTTCAGGGAATTTGGTTTTTCCAAGCAGACAGGGATCAACTCAAGTTAATTTTAGGATTCCCACATTTGCAAAAGAGCATCTAGTTTTTTCTCATCATTCACATTTGCAGAGAAAAATCTTAAACGTGCTTCAGCCGTCTCCCAATCTCATGAAAGAAAAGCTCTAGTCTTGATTTAGGAAAAAAAAGAGTTCATTCCTTCATCCTTCCAAACAAGGTACAGTACAACTGAACAACAATACACATTACTGAAAAACACAACTGCATTTTACATTGCTCACTACTCTTTAAATAAGTACAATTCAGACATTAAGGAAAAGAACTGCTAATCTCATTAATGCATTACAGAAATCAAAATTAACTTACCACACAAAATAAATTAAAACATTAAATATTAACCTTTTCAGTGCAACATATACAGAAGTCAGAGTAACAAGTTCTAAAAAAAAAAAGCATCAGGTTTGTTATAATAAGATAATGAGAAGTTGAACACTTCAGTAAATTATTACACTAGGAAGAGGGGTTGTGTTCAGTACTATGTGTGTGTTTGCCGTGAGATCTTTTAGAAAGCCTGGTAAGATCAGTAGCTCCAGAGAACAGGTCTTATGTTAGAACATTAAGAACAAACATATGTGTTCATCTTGTTTCTGTGATGTCCCCCTTGGTCCTGGGCGTTTGAATCATCCCCTGCCCCTTCCTCAGCTGAGCAGGTTGGCAGGAATCAAAGCCCAGATCCTACTAAGGGGCTGGGGTCTCCTGAGCACTGTTCCTGCCAAACCTGCCTGGAAGAGTAGCCATAGCCAGCGGTTCTTGTGCCCCGAGGCAGCCCAGACCCGGGAAACCTGAAGATGCCAGACACTTTCTCCACCTGCACAGACCAGGCTCCCAAGAAGCTCTGGAAGCACACCTCCTCCCTCGTCAATATGGATGGGGGAACGTCAATCCCGCCGCCTCCTTTCATGGCAGATAGACTCTGGGGACATTCTGCCCCCCTTCTCTGCTGGCACACAATAGCAAACTCATATCTTGCTTGGTTACATGTGTATCCAGATGTGTCTTCCAGATCAGGATTGGCCGCTGTCTCTCCTTTCATTAGCTGAAGACGTTTCCCGCCAGTATGCTTAAAGAAGTCACAGCCTGTAGAGCAGTGGGAAAATCCAGGCCCCACAAAAGATTTGGAAGCACCCCCTCCCTTTTTTTTTAAATGGGGGCTTTACATTTCTCCTGAGCCAGACATTGGAAACGGCTGTGTTCCCCGCCCCCAGGTGTGTGTGGCCGCTTACCATGTCAGATCTTGGGAATGATTCCCTGATCGTAATGAACTTGGCTTTCTAAAAAGCAAGGAAACATGGGGAACCTATGGAGATGGATTAGGAGATGATTTTTAACCTGAAAAGGGGGCGTTTTTACAGCTAACCAATGCCAAAGAAGTACCAATGCCATTAATGGCATAGGAATCCAATGCTTGCTGGCCATCTGATTTCTAAGAGAGAAATCACTAAAGAAGCAAGGTTCTCCTAGCCTGGAGCATGGACAAAGGTCCAACCAGGCCTGCCTTGACCCCACCTCTGCTTCCAACTCCCTTCAGACCTGCTGGTTTACAGAGGACTGTTTTGAGAGGCACTTCTAGGATGGCACACATTTGAGCCCATTCTCTGCATGGTTGTACAGGCACAAGGAATGGGGCACCGGCAGCTGTGACTTGCTGGACTGGAGCATTCACAGACCCTAAATATGAGGTCCCCACAGGGAACAAAGAAGGTTCCCTCCGCTTCCATCCTTATATTCTCACCTTTGCAAAGGCTCTTGGACACCTGAAGACTGGACACTGATCCTTCCACTCAGTAGGTGAACATAGCCCCACGAGACATTCTCAACATCAGTTCATACACTTTAAAGGCAACCAGACCTCAAATAGCCTCTAAAAGACTGAGTCAAGATCGTCCTAAAGTAAAAATGTGATCTCAAGTTAAACACAAGTGATGCTACTCCACTTTCATTAGTCTCTCCGAACCGGGATCAGACTTTCAGTAGAGCCTGATGAGAAAAGTGAGTGCACACTGGGGTCCACAAACTAGTGTCAACTGCATTGGTCTCCTATGGTCAAGCCTCAGCCCACAGATCTGCTGCTGTAGGACCAGCCTAAGGAATGCGAACTTAGGCGTATTTTCTTTTATGACTAAAACCCGGGAGCTGTGGTCAGTTACACTGCTGGCGAACGGACCCCATTTCTGCTACGGGCGCTTTGGGTGCTGCATCGTTCAATAAAAGTGCCAGAGTTAAGACACGTGTCATATAATTGTCTCAACTGTAAGAAATACAGAGAAAATTCACTGAAGTAGACATACTGGGGCAGAAGAATTCGAGGAGGACAAAATGACCTGGTAGGAATTTCAAGCCAACTTGACATATTTTAAAGGTCCCTTTCACGATGTGAGGCGCTACAGGCACTGAAGGGTTAATAGGTAGAAATCTTCCATTTTTCAAATATTAGGGAATAAGAGTTCCCTCACATATGGAGTCTACATATTATCTCAATTGTTTCCCGTTTCCAAATTTTAGTGACAATTCCTAGGGATGAGCTCCCACGTGCAGTTGGAGGGAACTGGAATTTCCCACAGGCAGACCCACTGGGTTGGAAAGCACCCAGGAGAACAAGTTCTCCTTCCCTGAGGGAAAAGTGAGACCCACACGGTGGAGATGGCTTGTTAGAGTTTTTGTTAAAAAAAAAAAAAAGGTATCCTGGATGGAAAAGAAAAAAAACGTCACTGGAATATTTCTCCTAATGCTTAAAAATAAATAGGAAAGTTCAATTTCTCCCTTTCAAAATAGAACATCAACTGAGTGGCAACATGGAAAATAAGTGACTGGTCCCCCTTCACGGATGCAGCCCCAAATGCCCGCGGCCCTCCGTTAATGCTCTATTTCTAAACAGATTCTCAGAGGGCCCACTAGACGGTTAGCATGTTTAATGACAGAGCGGGGTAGTCTGTGTTTCCCCCATGTGGAGGCACACACAGGCATTCTTCCTCTGCCTTGACAAGATGCCAGATCTCCACTGCTAGGTTTGCTAACTTTTCAACAGGACTGTATCCTGGGGCGTTTACTAGTTTTGTGTATTAAATGGCATGACCTCTGAACCCCAATCTTTGCTCCCATCAGCAACTCATCCTCTGCTTCCATCTCCATCTATCCTGGTGGTTTTTCCCAAGCTTTAGCTATTCCAAAGAGACCGGACATTTCTAATCAGTCTAACTTTTTGGCCAGCAATACATACATCATTAATGCAGACGTCTGAAAGGGTTTTGCGCTTTTTACACTGACTTAAGAGATTAAAAATAACACCATCATCCATCTAATAAATAAGAAGTTATCTCTGAGGGTGGCAACAGCTCGGGAAGGTCTTCAACATCATGTGTCTGTGGAAGATATCGGGCTGGTTGCGGGTTTTGTGGACAGAGGACAGACATGGCTCCTCTTACACTGGTGTCTTCACGTAGCAAAAAGCAGTTATGCCTTTTTCCACCTTCTTCTCCCATAAGCGGTAAGAAAAAAACTGTAACAACTAAAGGAATCTCCAGTGTCAGGCAGGATGGAGACTGTTGTGGGGAGATGGGCCCATTAAAAAAAGCACAGCCTGGCATCCGCAACTGGCAGAACACACCTACACACACCTGGACACAGATGCCAACGCGCACAGCTCATTAGGTAAACAGGAAGTCCATCCCGTTCCGTTCATTTCTGACCAGTCTTTAGACTGTGGTCCACTTATTTCTTCTCCAGGTCACACTGGATAACCCCAAGCAGACAGAGTTGTGGACAGAGTTTTGAATGAAGGCCCACAAAAGACAAAAAGCCCACACAGGCGAGGGCAGGCAGAGTAGGAAAGGTCTGCTGGCCCGTCCCAGGCAGCCCTCACCGTGCGGTCCTCAAGAAGTCCTTTCTTTCTCAGGCTGCCGCAGGCCATTTGGAAGAACTCCTCCTCTGGGCTCTTCAGACCACTGGAAGGAAGGAAAAACAGGTTAAGCTCTGCGGGCCAGACCCCAGCCAGGCTGGGAAAACTGGCTTGGGACAGAAACTTGGGGATGCACCAGCCAAAGTCACCAGGCTCTTTTGGGCGGACAAGTCCACCTTCTGCTGGTTAAACCTCAGGGGCAAAAGCTCCTGAAACTGTGCTTTCAGCGCCAAAGGAAACAAGAGGATGGGGATGCGCGCTGTCATGAGGGCCTTCATTCAACTGGAGGTGATTCAACCCCGTCTGCGGCCAGTTCCCTCACCAGGGGTGGCTTAGTGGGCAGCTCATGAGCTGGTCAGGGCTCTGGCAGCAGAATGGCTTCCCCCGAGGCTGTTTAAGAATGGAACCCCTGGGCTTCCCTGGTGGCACAGTGGTTGGGAGTCCGCCTGTCGATGCAGGGGACACGGGTTCGTGCCCCGGTCCGGGAGGATCCCACATGCCGCGGAGCGGCCGGGCCCGTGAGCCATGGCCGCTGAGCCTGCGCGTCCGGAGCCTGTGCTCCGCAGCGGGAGAGGCCACGACAGTGAGAGGCCCGCGTACCGCAAAAAAAAAAAAGAATGGACCCCCTTGTTGCTCAATGGGTGGGCCCTGACGGTATCCTCTGTGCCTGTTACGGGGAGGCAGCGTGTACCCATTCCCCAGCAGCTCCTGAGTCCAGCCCAGCCTGGACATCTTCCTGCTCTGGTCCCTCCCATGGTTCCTCTGGAGGTGGGAAGGTACCTGTCAACTCAAGGAGAGGGGCGTCAGCCTTGGTGGCCATCTCTGGAAGGTCAGATCCATCCCCAGGTTCAAAGCTAACATTCTCTCAAATGTGGGTAGGGAAGAAGTGACATTAACAAGAAATTTACTCTATCCTAAATGACTCTGCCAAGGTGCAGACCGATGGCACAAAACCTAGTATAAATTTTCTTAAAAAGGCAGATGCAGTTTTCCTATTGGTGCTAAAAGACAAAACAAAAATATTTATCTACATTAGCTCAATGGATGGTCCCCTGAGGTAGTGGAGGAGATGTGAGTGGGGCCTTCAGAGGACGTGGGTCTCATCCTAGCTCCCCTAGGGACTCAGGGAGGCACCCACGCAGGCCTTTAGCAGACTCAGTTTACCCACACCCTCCTCCTTAAGGCTATGGTGAGGATTAATGAATCAGCACCTTCCTAAATCAGAAGGGCTGCTCATGCACAATTACTACGGCTCTTGAAATGAAGACCAAGTGAACGGCGCTCCAGGGCCTTCAGTTCCCTCCAGGTCAGATCACCAGGAGGCCTCATGAACACCGCAGCGTTCCAGCTTCCCAGGCGCTTTTCTTCCTGTCTTCTCCATGCAACCGTGAGCTTCTGGAATGCTGACTGTGCTATGGCCATACCACTCTGAACGCGCCCGATCTCGTCTGGAATGCTGTTTACTAGAGAAGGACACCCCCAGGTGGACGAGTATGGGGTGATTGTCTCCTGATCCACTACTTCCTAAAAGGGAACTCTAAGTTTCTGACGGGCTTTGTGGGTCAACCCAGTGTTCCAGAAACTTGTTCACGTGAGACTTTTGAGAGCCTGTCTGGATATATTTGCTATTTGACTCAAGGAGCCCTGAGCAAGGGATGCTCGGATGAGGGTTCCTGAGATGTGAGTCTGGCCTCATATCCAGATGTCCAATCTTTTTCGTGGATGTCGGAGAAAATATTCAAGCAACAATGGTAAACTGAAGGAAGATCACAGGATTCTAAGAGTTTAGAGTCCTTCAAGACCTTCTATAGGCCAAATCTCTCATTTCACAGATGGGAAAGGGGAGATGATTTCTCAAGGGAAAGAGAATGAACATCTGTTGAATGTCTACAGTCTGTGACACACTAGGTACTTTATATCAGTACTTATTCAATTTGCACAACATCTTTTTAACAAGAAAACTAAGGCTCAGAGAGGTTAAGTTACTTGTTAAAGGTCACACAGTCACCAGTAAGGATAAAAGAGTTCCCTTCTGAGTAAAACACACATTAGAATAAACTAAACCTGACTCGGTAGGATGAATATCCTCTTCTTTTTCTCCCTTCTTTCTGCTTCATCCTCCAAGAACTTCTGCCCTGACCTGGAGAAGGTGGTCCTTTTCTCTACCCAATAGCGTCTCCCGGGGGAAAAAGGCCTTTCCTTGCGGCAGCCCTCTTACCTGTTTCTGAGTGGCAGCAAGCAGTCCTTCCCTTCAGGAGGGCACTGGGCTTCTCGTGCCGGCAGATGAGGGCCCGGCACCATTCACAGTGTTTTCGGACCTGGCAGCAGCTGCAAAGGTGCAGAGAACACGGTCTTGGCAGGAGCCTGGCAGGGGTGCCCAGCTGGTGCAGCGTCTGCCCGAGGGGCCTGCTGGGCAGCTCTGGGCTCTAGCCCAGCCTTCCCATGGGGCCTCCGGAGGGAGAGACACAGCAGGGGGCTGAGGGCTTTGCAGGGTGGTGGCCTTTGGGGCAGGAGCTGGCCACCTGTGAGAGGGCCTGCTGGCCACCCCAGAGGACCAGCTCCATTCGGCTGCTCTGCTCTGGGTTGGCAGGGTAACCTGGCAGGCAGGTACCTGGCTCCAGCTGAGAGAGGGGACCGGTCCCCCACCGGCTGCTTGCTCCATAAAGCAGCAGTTGGGTAACTCCAGAAATGCGGGAGCAGCCTCAGAACCGCTGTCAGGACTGGGCCAGAGCCACCACTTCAGGCTAGCCAGGGCTGGGAGGGCTAGGGACGGGGTCATCCATGAGGAATTGCCAGCCGAAAAGCTGGGACTGTGCGTGGGCTGCAATGGTCCCACGGAAGGAATGGAAGAATAAATCATGCACCTCCGTGGCTTCGAATCTTTTTCTGAGGACTAACATTCTCTAGTCGTGGCAAACTCATCCTCTCAGTGAACCCAAAACCTGGAGTCCTAAAGCATCAGGACCATGAACGCTCCGGCCTCCCTCTGTGGGCAGGAATGAACGGTCTGCAGAGCTAGCACAAAAAAGGAACCAGAGAACCCAAGAGAAGGGCAGAAAAGGAAGCACTAAGACATTAAGTACCTACAGACACTGATGGTTGTTTCCCTTGGGATAGCATGGAGGACTGTTTCCACTCATTCTAACCCTAAGGTGTATGTAACCTATACATCCAGTGTCTGGGGCTGGGAGGGGTCTCGTGGCTGACATGAGCCTGGAAACAGATGAGGAAACAAGCCTGTTGCTGTGCTTCCCTGTTGGAGCCTGGTGACATTTCACGATCCCCACCCCAGCCCCTCTCTCTCGGCATTGCCCCAGGAAGGTTACTAGAGCCCCTGAATCTCTGGGCAGCAGAGCTGAGAAGGGATCCTGGGACATTTCTGCCCAAGCTGCTTCTGCCAGGGGTGGCCAGAGCAGTCTCCCGGGCCTGGGTCCTTCCTGAGCCACGGAGTCCGGGTTGGGACCAGCTCACCCCATGCGGGAGGGACCTAGGCCTTGACTCCAGATCTATCAGTGACTGCTGTCTTGCTGTCACCTAGCCAGGAGGGCTTGCCCCGTCACTACCCAGACAGGAATGGCCCAGGGAAGTGAGATCAAGGCCTCTAGGTCCCTCTGGCATGGGATGAGCTGGTCCCAACCAACTCTGCCACTCAGGAGGGACCCCGTGCCCCGGCAACCAGCAGTCTGGCGGGGGCTTGGTCTCTTAGGGATTCTGAACTTGATCTCTGGCAAGGATGGGCTTGGCAAGGACAGAGGAGAGACGGAATGGCTGCCTCCCTGGGGACTCCTCCCTGGGAATCAGAGAGGCCGCCCAGGTACCCTGGGTTGTTTCTGTCTTTAGAGAACATGGCAAAATGAGCTTTTCACTCCTCCTGGGGGGGCGCACGTGGGCACCGAGTCTTGTTCCTACGGCTCTGGGACCCTCCTGGCCACAGAAACAGGACTGTGGGAGTGACAGGCGCCCCCACATAGCCAACCGGCCATGAGAATCGAGGCTAGTGGTCAATACGTTGCTCCTGCTTCCCCAGGGGGTCTTCACGAGTAGCAGAACCTGAGCTATGCCCCAGCCTGCAAACATGTTTTCCCAAGACACATGGGAGTAGAACAGCCCAGCTGAGACCTCATCCCTCACCCTTAACACTGGCTGGATCCAGGAGGAGGATGTGAGTGCGCTGCGGCTACTGTCCACAAGCCGGGGCTCTAGGGGCACCCCGTTCATTCCCAGAACCAGGAGCGTGTGCTTTAGACGCTCCAACAGCAACAGTCAATAAACAAACGGGACAGAGACTCTTATTTATCTGTCCCAAACCCAGGCAACCCCAGAGGGCTCAAGTCTGGCTTCCTGCGGGAACACGCACTGCCCCCTCCAGGCCTGGCTAGAGGGACCTGTCTACTTACTGTTTCCACCACGAGCTACTCTACGCTGAGCTAACCGCAGCCTTTGGCCGGTATGTCCATTTCTTGTGCGTGTCCAATTAGGTAGCATACTCTGAGGGCTTGCTCTGTGACTTAGAGGTCTCCAGATACTTCCAGGGAATAAATCTGGCCAGATGCTGGAAATACAGCCCTAGGGCCTCTCCCGTTGCAGAGCAGTCCAATCGGGAGATATGGGCAAGCGAAGGAGGCTAAGAAACACCGGGAAAAGGGCTCAGTTGGTCTAGGGCTCAGGAAGGTTTCCTGGAAGATGTCAGGCAGAGACTGAGTTTTGGAGGAGGAGGAATAGGGCAGAGAAGTAGAGAAAGGGGGAGGCCTGTCATAACAGCGACAGTGGCTTTAGGATTCGCCAAGTGCCTTCTGTGGAGAGGAAGCGAGGCCGCTACTGCCCACGGGAGGCTGGGAGCCGTGTCTAGTTCCCTCTGGAACCCCTGCACATCCCCATGACAATGGTGAGGGCTCCAAGCCCACGGCAGAGAGAGAGCACCTTTGGCTCTGCTTCCAATGGGGCACCTCCCAGGATGTGTGCTGCAGACCTGCCAGGATGTGTGCCTTTCACACAACGTGGCTGTCACCAAAGTTCCTCTTTGCTTTGCTAACACTCATCAGACGTCACAGCAGTAAGCTGTCGTGGTGGCCCTGTTATGGCCCCGGGAGGGCCTGCAGGTGGGGGTCCCGGCCTCGGGGGTAGCAAAGACTCACTGTATCAGCACACACGTGATGATGAGGACAGTCAGCGCCACGATGGAGACCACCACCAAGGCAGTAATGGCCTGCTTCTTCTGGCTGGCGGCCACCACGGCCAGGAGGTCCGCGTGCTCACAGCGTGCACCGACGTACCCAGAGTGGCAGCTGAGGAAGACAGGAACATCAGCGTGCTCTCCAGGCAGAAGTCTCATTCTCCCCACTCCCCAGGAAGGCTGGGCCGGAGGGGAAAGCCCAAAGGGGCCCCTCCAGCCTTTGCTATTGGAGGCAAAGGCATCAGCAAAATTTCTCCTACTCCCCTGCACAGGCTCCTCTTGTCTGGAGAACAAGGGATAACTCACCAGCTTATCATCTGAGGGGAAGGTGCTGCTGAGGCACTTCGCTATTACGGTAACCGTGCCAGGTCCCGGGGGAGTGAGGAGGGCGGCAAGTGTGTCCAAGACACGGAGCTCATTTTGGCAGTTCATAAAAATCCAGGTTATTTTTAAACTAAATGTGTGTATTCAGAATCCCTAGTGATGAGAGAAAGACAACATGCTAAACCAGCAGAAGACAAAGACTGTGGTTTGCTTTTTTATCTTCTTCATCAAGTTTAATTAGTTCTGCAGACATTTACCAGGTGGGGCGTGTACTGGACTAGAGGCCAGCACCACTATCTGGTAATAACAGCTGGCCTCTCTCCGCTAGAGGATTAGTAACGGCACAAGACGCTGCATGTTGATGACCATGCATGTAGCCTGTAAAGGGCAATACCAACACAAGGTGATAGTATTGCTTGTATTGCTACTATTCAGAGACTCTTTGGCATCAATCATTTCAGTAGCGGCCTCCTCCTAAGAGCTGAGGGCTGAAGCTGCTTCTTCCACGTAGCCCTCACCTATGCTAAACTCCCCCCACCCAGATTCTGGCTGGGGCCACAAGGGGTTCGTGCACGGTGATTCCTCAGGACATGTTCTAGGCATAAGGAAGCGATGGTCATTTTCTGATGCAAGCCCTTTTTTTTTTTCTACCAAGCATATGATTCTTCTCAGTAGAAGATACTTAGCTTACACACAGGTCCCTTTGTCTGGGGTGACTTTTTTATTGTAATGAAAATGTTTGATCACCACTGCCTTCTCAGGTGGGATAGCTTCCTTCCCACAGGGGACTTCCTTGAGGGGCAGTCTTGCACCAAACATCACACTGGATTTAAAGGTTTTTGTCCCTCCCCACCGCCCTTCGGACACGACAATGATAGTTAAATTTTTTTTTTTTTTTTAGGAGTCTACCTTTTGATGAAATAGCCAGACTGTCACCTTCACTTTTAGATTAAAAGGCTTTGGAAGGGCAAGGAAAATGAAGGGGGATTAAGGGTCCTGGTATGCCTGCTCTTGTGCAGGGCCAGCCCCAGGGGCGTTGCATTTGTGATTCCCTTAAACCTGGGCTCCCGGGCTGCCAGACCCCACATGCCAGAAGGAGTCACAGGACAAATATAGTACAGTTTCCTGGAGTACAGGTTTTGCTCAATGCTAGCACAAATTGAATCATTTTCAGGTACTGTATGGGTTTAAGGTTATGGCAAACAGGAGATACTGCAAAAATGGCTGCTTAAGGCTACAACCTGGGATACCAGAACATGTAGCTTCTGTCTTTAACGCTGCTTAATGGAAAAGTCTCTCACTGGTGCTCTTTAACCCAAAGCCCAACTGTTATGTACCCCCTTTAAAGGTATTTTTTAGTTTGAATTCTTTTGTCTGAACTTGCTTTTCTGTTAGAGGTTAGTTTACATTTGACACATGTTTTCTCACTTAGTCTTTGCACAGAAAAGTCAAGTCACTTGCCTGTGCCCACCCTGCCAGGGAAGAGAGAGAAATCCATTCCCAGGTCTGCTGACCACAGGGTCTGGGTTCTCGCCCACTCAGCAGGGCTGCTGCCCCTTCACACTATCTGGGGATTGTGATGAGAATGCCGCAGATTCAGCTCTTGATTAAATCTGGCTTTTGGTTTAGCCTCCAATCTTGAAAGTGTAAAGGAGATTTGAGCTTTTAGGTTCAACAAGGGTGCAAAGCGTTTGCAGTCTTCAGTTAGTAAGGAAGCTGGGGAGGGCCAACCGGGATGGAAAATGCCATCTACAGACCCGAGGAGGAGAGAGAGGCTCCAGAGAGGAAGAAGATGCAGGAGCTCTGGCAAGAAGACCTTGTCTGAAAAAGGATCTGGACCACAGAAGTGTGAATAAGAACACAGACTCTCACAGACTTTGGCTAGGATGGCGAAGACTGGGGGCTAGGAAACAGGGGCAAGTTTGCTTTTGTTTGGTCTTAATAACAAAATCATTTTGAGGGCAAATTCAGAAACAGCTCACCCTGTAGGCTGGGGAGAAAACAAGGCTCTGGCCCCTTCCCAGTAGGGGAAAGCTGACGGTGGACTGAACTTGAGACTGAGAGGCGATATGCAACAGGCACAGGTGATGCACAAATTGAAGCTGTGGGTGTCTATAGCGAACCCTGCAAAGGGTCCCTCCTCCAACCCATCCTGCACCCAGATGGCTCCCACCTGGGTTGTGGGCTTCCTCCATTTGGTATCCAACACCCCTTATCTGCAGGACCCTAACCCACCCCCTCTACTTTATCTCCAGTCACCTAGGTTTCAGCCAACCCAAGAAGTCCCCCCACCCCTAATGTCAACTAAACTAGTGCCCAGCACATAGGCACTCAGGACACGTCGGCCTGTGAATGAATGAATGAATGAATGAATGACTACCTTCCCCTTGCCCATCTCAGCTCCTGCCACCTTCTCTGCCTGGAATATTATTCCTCACTTTCTTCCTCAAACTCCATCTCAAAGACCACATTCGCCAAGAAGATATAATTTAAAGACTCACTCATTCATTCGCCCAGTCATCCATCCATCCATTTTCCATAGCTCTTTCTATGGATCTCCCTATAGCCTCTCCTTCTCTGAAGGCCCTTAGGACTATGCCCACCTCTCTGGCTGCCTCTCCCACCAGCCTCACTTTAGGCCAGCCTCCAGGCTCCCGCAGGCAAGACCTAGCTCTACAAAAACTCTGGTGAACCACAGAGCAGAAGAGGGTTGGGGAGCCTGGGCTTTGGGATGGATAGTTAGATGTCTAACCAGGAGTTGCAGTCAAGCCAGTGAGACTTCTCTGTAGCTGGGTGTCAGTCTGCTTCCTCCGAGGGAAGGGTAGTGTGATGAGGGTTTGCACAGCTATTCGTGAAACGTCCAGGCTATAGGAAGAGCACCTCAGGAGGCAATTTCACCCAGCTAGAGATGTTCCTACTCTAACCTGCAGGCCCTGGGAGAGGAGGATTCTAACACCTCCTCAACTGCTTGGTTCTGGAAACCCTATGAATTAACAAATCAATGCTGGGGACTCTAAGAAATCCCGTTTAAATAAAATAGTGGGAGCTTAGTGCTAATTACATTATCTTATCAACGAAGGCTACGCTAAACTCCTACATGAACTATCTCTGTTAATCCCAACAATGACTACTGCATGGGAGGTCTGGGCTGCTGTTTACCTTGTTTTACAGATGGGGCGGGCAGATTCGGGAGTTAAAAACCTAAGGATCTCAACTGTGAAGGAGACCTTTCTGGGGTAATGCAAATTAATCCAGAAGATACTACTCTGGGATAGTGATTCAATGGCAAACTCACAAACTGCACAGCAAAAAGGAAGAGGGGTGGCTGATTGCCCCATAAAGAGGTCTTCCTGCTGTGGGTGTAGCAAGTTGCAAAGATGCCCCCAAACAGTGCCGTCTTAACTCACTAGGGAAGATAACCCTCTAGGCTGGGTCACATTTTGCTGACTTTCCATCCTCTTCCTGCCATGTGTGTGCTGGGCCCTTTCCAACCAACCTGGCCTCAGTACTGCCCCGGGCAGAGGTCTTTCCCATTAGGAAAGTCTTCATGCCAAAAAGAATGCCTCTGTCCACTTAGTGTCACAGCAGTAAACATTCAAACCCCAGTCTCATTGAGTTAGGGAGCTCAGCTTGCTTCTGAATGAAAACTTCCCCAGTGAGGCATGGGGAGCACCTGAGTTGCTGCCTAATACACGAGACTCCAGGTCATGGCCCAGGTGAGCTCCAAGAAGAGCAAGTCTTAGCACCAAGCAGCCCAGCTGCAGCTGGGAGGCAGAACAGCCAGTGGTCCAGATACTTGAGCTTCTCCCAGGACCTCCCAGGTCAAAATCTCTCTGAAAATGGGGCCCGGGTGTCTTAAAGAAAAGGCCGAGGGTATTCTGAGGAAGCCTGAGTTGAAAGCCACCGTGAAGGTTTACCAGCGAAATCAACTCTGGCTGGCCATTGGAATGGCCTGGGGAGCTTGAAAAAATCCTGAGGTCCAGGCCACAGCCCAGACCAACTAAATCAGAATCCCTGGCAGTAAGGCCTGGGCATCAGCATTTTTAGAGCTCCCAGATGATTCCAATGGGCAGCCAAAGTTGAGAACACAATTTAGACTTTCTGGCCTTGGGGTGGAGGGAGGTCCTTTCTTCTCCCCAGTCGACTGTAATACACGGATGCTTCTCAGTTGCTCTTTACTAGCGGGGGAGCAAGAAAAGGTTTGGTGACATACATTTAAAAAAAAGTTTCCCAAGCTTCTACTAATATTAGACTTAATTACGCGATTATTTTAGCATAAGTCACACAATGAGGGGAAAAGTCACCTCACCTGGTCACAAATGAATCACGCTTGACTCAGCTGCTGTCTCTACCTCAGGTAGGCACTGCTTCCCACCTGGCTGTACATTGGAATCACCTTGGAAGCTCTGGAGAATGCCGGGGCCATGGTCATACCCTTGGAGATGCCCATCCAATTGGTCTGGGCACCCAATGACTCTAATGTTGAGGCCTGAGAACCACTGAGGTAGAAGGTCATTTAAGGACACAGAATCAAGACCCAACAGTTCAAAATCTGCCCCTTCCCCCTTCTCCTTCCTCTCTTCCCCCGTCTCTCCCTGGGCATTTCCCCAGGTTGGGAGCTGTACAGTGGGCCCTCTCATTCAGGTGCAGGAGAAATGGGAGATGCGGCACCTCTGTTTAAGAAAGGAATCTGAGGGCTTCCCTGGTGGCCCAGTGGTTGAGAGTCCGCCTGCCGATGCAGGGGACGCGGGCTCATGCCTCGGTCCGGGAAGATCCCACATGCCGCGG